GCAGCACAAAATGTAGAGGCCAGGGTAAAATAAAAGCACCAAGACTTCAAGTGTATTTGATACTTGTTTGCAAGAGATTTCGTCAATTTGACTACTTCTTTTGGGTTAAATAGTATTATTTTGTTTATAAATTAGATAGCAGAAAGTACACATTTGACTTGAAGAATTAGTCAGGATATAAGGTCAAAGCATTTTTGTGTTGAATTTTTGAGATACTTTAAATCTGTATTTGAAGTTAATTATACATTATTTTCAGTTAATTGCTATTTTTCATGTTCCTACAGCTGCATTTTACATTTCAAAAACACATTATTTATTTACATGATCCCAAATTCCAGAGGAGGTAATATAAATATCCCATTAAAAGTTTATTGTCTTACTGACACTGCTATTTTACCTTCAGTATAGAATTAATGTGAAAATACTATGTCATCTGGAATGTATCTCAACTTTCTTACTCAGAAATCCCATTTGTTTGAAAAATTAAAGGATAGTGAGATCCCTAGTAATGCTAAACTACCAGTCAGTATTCACAGAAACAATATTTACCACTCTGTTATTTTTGTGTAATTCTGTTCAAGTTGCTCAGCTAGTGAAAGATAAAAAAGGAAAAACTTGCATTCATAAGCTAAAAAGGAGATGGCAGTGAACGAAAATTTCAGAAGGCAATAACCTTGAATCCAAAGGAGCAGCTCTGGTGTGTGTGGAGGCACACGAGCAGCGCTCTGTGCAGTGCGCCGGGAATCAGCGTCAGGATTCCTGAGCAGGATGTGTCTGTTCACAGTTGTTCTTTGCCATCTTGTTGCTCTGTTCTTTTTGACCATGTGTTCCTGTAAAACAGAAAGCTACTTGCCTCTAAAAACCATTATCAGTCCTGACAAATGCCAACAAAGAATTCTTTCCCATATGCACAGAGATTTACTTTTTTTAGCTGTCTCCATGCTGCTTGCAGTTAGTTACCCACTCACAGTTCCCAGGGACTTTGTCAGAAGTCCTGCATGTGAAATAATTATAGACTTAGTTTTTCTGAAAGCAAATTGTTTCTCAGGTTATCTGCTTTTGAAAGTGTATGGCTGGCCTGGTTGCATGTTTTGTAAGGGGTTTTAAGCACATTTCAGAGTCACTAACACTGCAAATTTCCCCTTTCTTTAAGCTTTTAAACTATTTTTGTCTCTTCGGTCGCAGCACTAGCAGGTGATCAGCTATTCACGTGCTGTTTGTTTAAATTAGATTTTATTCTGTGATACAAACTGTACCTTGCAGCTTTGTTTGCAATGCCTGTACTTCCACTAAAGAGCAAAATTCATACTTGGCTGTGCTGAAAAATGGGTGCATATTTCATCTTCCTGATTTATGCTTGACCTGGAAAAACAGAGTGGGATTCAGTTGGAGTTATTGTATTTTCCTCTTTCATAAGCACTTATTTAATCATTTGAAGAAATGTACAGTTGGTGCTCAAAGTAACATTTGTTAAGATATATTTAATAGAAATTTACATTTGCATTTGATATTCATGGACATGGGTACATGTATTTTTTTAAGAAAAGGTATTGTAACACTATGGCACTGCTTTTATAGCCAAAGTATAAAAAAATTTAGAAAACTGACATGTAAAGACTGCAGTTAATTCTGATACTGTATCTTATTAAATAGGATGAGTTTTGTTTTATAAAGTTATCCAGCACATTAAGCTGCATGCCTTAAGCTCTCTCTAGGATTGTGTTCCTGATAGGCAACTCTTTGGAAGGATGAAGCAAAGTCTGTAGTACTACTTTAACTACCTTCTGGAATACTGTACAATGGTAGAATAATTTATTTTGCTTTACAGGAGTTTGTCACGTATTGACTTTAATATTGTATTTTGGTAATAAACTTTTTTTTGTTAAACTCTTTAGTCACTTTTATTTGACTTCTATGAAATATGAATATAGAAAATCCAAACACTGAACCAGTGTTTAGAGAGAGGGAAATCTGGTTGAGTCAAAAAGTATTTGAAATACTTTACTGCCATTTCTTACTGGTGTATGAAATTATTAGTATTAGTTGTTATTACTAGTTTAAATACTGCTAATACAAGTTTTATCAAAGTAACTGTTGTGAAGAAATATGAAACTATTAAGTCAAAATATTTGTAAGTCTGCATGCAGTTAGGGTGGCACCATGCTGAAGAACTGCAAATTTGAAATTCATAATGAAACTAGTAGGAATTTTTTCCCTAATTTAAATAAGAGTGAAAGCCTTAATCAGCTTTTTTTCAGGTGATTGACTTTTGCTTTTCCATCACATAAGCTAAAACATATCTTGAAACTATTTTTAAATATACAGCATATTTCTTGGCCTTGCTGGAGCTTTTGTTCCCATCTTTCTCAGGAAAAAATAAAGTCAGTTGGTGCTGCTGGGGAGAAAAGAGAGAGTATGGCCAGGATACCCACTGCTGGTATCAGCATGGTTTACAGTTACATAAACAAGCAATCTTTTGCCATTTTCTTCGTGTTATTATTAGGGCCCTGGGCCAAATATGTTGAAATAAAGGCTGGAACTACAAATGGGTTTAGATGCAACACTACAGAATGCTGTGTCATGCAGCTTTTTCACATTTTCTCTAATGCAAAACCTGGGAGAAAAGCTCTCTGTGGTAGGATGTGGCATCCAGGTATTATCCTGTTCACTGGGCTAAAACACCTTCCTCCCTTCAGCTGACAAAGCACAAGAGCTCCCCCATAAATAACCTGTGTGATCACAGGTAGGATGGGCACCGAGGGTCCTGTGGTGGTTGGATCAGCCCTGGGAGCTGGGAGAAAAGGAGCCAGAGCCCTGGCACAGGGCAGTGGGATTCAGTCACTCTGTCCTAGATCTCTGGCAAGTGTTTAGGGCTGGAACTGCTGCGGAAAGCTGATGCACCACAGGGAGCCTTTGTTCTGCATCCCCTCGAGGCATGTTTGGAGAAGAGCTGTCACACCAGGAAGGGACACACCAGTAAACTGACCTAAGATTAGCTAGCTAATGAAATTCACAACTGGTAAAGCCAAGATTTTTTTTGCCCAAAAGCAAAAACTTCAGGAGCCTGAAAAGGTTTAAAAGTTGAGAAAAGTGAGAACCCAGAAATTTGGCACGTTTGCTGTTTGCCACAAGGTTGCTGAACAGCAACTCAAAACACTGCAGGTTTAGACTTAAAATTTACTGGGGCAGAACGTGAGTCCTCCTGCTTTTCTAGTTCATGGTAGCTCTTTCTGAAGTACAACCCAAGAGAAAACACAAATAAACTGAATTGTAAGTTTCTTCCAACCATTTCCCGTTTGTAGATGTTTGGCATTTGCTGGGATTATTGCTAACTTGGTGCCAACAGGAACACTCCACTACTTGGATCTAGTTGGAACAGAATGAGCAAACAGAATATTGTTAAATATCCTTTTGTTATTTTGGCAAGTAAGAGGCCAGGATTGCAATAGTATTATAACAATACAGTTATGGTATAATCATCAGTATTACTGATTGCAAGCTACAGTTTGGTGACTTTTAATTTACATTTTATAATACAACTTTTAGATATTAATATCCATCTGGAAGCTCTTTAGTTCTTCTGTATTCTCATACTTGAAACATTACAAATCCCTTACATCTATGCAGTGGGGGAGAATTAAGATAACTCCCCCTTCTTAGGGATTTCTGAAGCTCTTCACTGATTATGTTTTCTAAACCATTTCTGTAACTGCTTGTTCTTGTAGAATTTACTTTGCATTGGCCTCTTTACAAGTAGTGGAGAAGTAGAACTGTTATTCCAGGAAATATCTTCCACAGCATCCCCTTTCTTAGAAATGTAAGTACATTATCTGCTTTACACAAAAACCTGCAGGCACTCAAGGTGTTTATCTACACTGTAGAATTTCCTGTACGTATACATTGTGTTCATTTCAACAAACACATGACATCTAGGATGTGGCAGTGAGAAAAGGAAGGTAAATCTATTGCCCATGGTAAGGCACATATTTATTTAGTTTTCATTCTTAGTTTAAGCATTCCCACAAATGTATGACCTGCCTTGTTGCTAAAAAACAAACAAACAAACAAAAAAAAACCACCAAAAACTAACGGAAAAGCAAAAGAAGAATGGCTGTAAATTGACTTACAGTAGAAATGTTTAAATATTTGGCAGACTTGATCAGAGGAAGATAATTCTGTTGGTTCTAAACAATACTTACAAAACAAAATAAGCACGCAGAGCAGATCCTGAAAAAATTTCCTGATTTCTAGTGTCAATGGCTTCAAAGTTCAGAATGACCAGGATGATTACTACATCATTTTCTTGCTGTCTCTGAGCATGCTTTCTATAAATTTCATGGCTCTTTCTGCTTGAAATACTACCTTTTTTAATGAACCAAAGTTGTGGAACGAGAGAGAGAGGGAAAAAAAGTGCTGCTGTACTATAAAATTATGATGGAAAATCAGCTAAATATTGTCCTGAAGTAGTGAACTTTCTCCCTGACAATTCCACAGAATTTGTCCGGATTCTTGGGAAAGCAGCCCTCTGTGATAGGACCTGGAGTTGGTTTGTTGGTTACGGCTTCATGGGGCATGGTTTTTTCTACAATTACTAAAGACAGTGCAAATAAAACTTACAATGAAGACTTACTGCAGGGCTAGCTTGTAGCCATTAAGTAGAACAAAGTCTGGCATTGCCGTTATCTTCCGGCTACAAAAGGTCTTTCCCCCCTTTAAACGTTTATGGTGCAGTTAAGCAAGAAATACAGTGGAGCTTACAATGCGTTGAACGGCACACGCAGCTCTAATTTCAATTTTAAAATCACACATATACGGTACTGTATCGAGCGGGGAGAGGGGCGGTGAGAAACACATTTTAAAAAACACTACAAATAAATTCTAGGGCACTATCTGAGCAAAGCATCCTCCGACAGCGCAGCCCCCGGGAGGGCGGAGGCCGCAGCCCGTTCCCCGCAGGGCTGCCCGGCTGGCACGCCGGCCGTGCCTCCATGTGCCGGATTTCCGCCGCACGCCCGCCCGCGGCCGCCCGAGCCAGCGATGGAGGCAGCGGGGCCGGGGGCCGGGCCTGTGACGGGCGGCTGTGCCCGCCCCGGCTCTCGGTCTCCGCCCGGCAGGGCCGAGCGCCCGGCGCCGCGCCCGCCCCTTCCCCTTTCCCTTCTCCTTTCCCTTTCCCTTCGCTTTCCCCGTCCCTGCCCGCGGCGGGGCCCGGGCGGCTCTCGCAGCAGCGCCGGCAGCAGCGGCCGCAGGTAGCGGGGCGCGGGGCCGG